CCGGTCCAACATTTTTGAAGCTTACGGCCACACTTCAGGATGCCATTACACAAATCCGGTATTTATCACATTCCTTAAACTCAGATTTTATTAAACACAGCGGCATCCAGCAAACCGTAGCCAAGGAAATTGATCGGCTGAATAATTTGGGCAAGCAGCAATTTGTATTGCTTACCGATGAAACCGAACCCCAATTGGATAAGAATACACAACTTGTCATTTTTAGAATTTTCCAGGAATTGGTCAACAATGCATTGCGTCACGCTAAGGCAAATACGATCACTGTTGAAGTTTATGGCAAGGCTGACCTGCAATTAGCCGTTAAAGATGACGGCAAAGGATTCGACCTTGAAGCCGTAAATGATAAAAACTCTGGCATGGGTTTAAAAAACATCGTCAAAAGAGCAGAACTCGTAGGGTTCATGATCAACATAACAAGTGTCGCTGGTGGAGGAACCAAAGTAGGTATCAGTCGGGTGGGGAATCCAATATAGCAATAATTTGACTGCGAAATGTTGGTAGCCCGGCAACCTGTAATAAGTTAGAGCTATGAAGGCAAATCCAATTTTGCCGGCCTAGCTTATTTTGTGTGGTCCAGGTGCTTGACCATTGCCAGATCATGCGATCATCGCGAATTTGCAGAGGTTTCTAAAGCCAAAGACCTGTTTCACATAGGCATGTAGTTATTATGTCTGCAATCCGGCTGATTTACGACCAGGGTGAACTCTTTCCGGGCTCTTAAGTACGAGAAGGTGGTAGAAAATGATAAAGCATTTCTGCAAACTTAGATACTACTGCCCTTACTTCATATCAAAGTTAACAGCTGGTTTATTCTGGATTCCATTTGAGAATTTCAAGTCAGTGCTTTGGATAATACCCATTCTGTTATATTTCATTATATATGTCAACGACCTATCTGAGTATAATATGATTATTGCAAATTACAGATAAACGTTATTGATTGAATTATGAACAATACACATGAGAACAACCTGTTCTAAATTCAGCAATAAATTTTTTCAATAAATTAACCATATGTATTATTACTTATAACTTATAAGTAATAATTGTAAGATAGATTTCATAAATAACAAATACAATTAATTAATTTATTTGTATATTAATTGTAGATTTTAGCAACAGTTCGCTAAAAGATTTCGATTATTTGTTAATATTATACTTGTATACTGTAAACACGGCTGCATTTAACAGCAATTTTAAATAACGAAGAAAGAATAACTACTGTTTGTTCTTTTGATTTTATAGACCATCTGATAAGTATAGTGATTTCACACCTAAAACCTCTTACTTAAGGGGGCTTTAGCTTAAATATTTTTATAAATCTAAAACAATCACATGCAACCTATCACCAGTGAAGAGTTTGACGCTTATAAATTTACAGATCAACATTTTGAAGCTGGAAGGCAAATACACGTTGATACTTATTACTATGTACGACAATATTTTCAGAGCTTTCAAAATTCAAAGCGACTCACATATGCCTTGGCTGTTAAACTGTGTGACCCAAAATTCTACTATAAAGAAGTCACTTTAGTTGGTTGTGCCTCATATTTCGGTCACTTCATGAATGAATGTGTGAGACAAGTAAAAGAGTTAAGATTGGCGCACAAGCTTGAAAAAATCGATATTAATTATGCTCTTCTAGATAATACAGACAAGGAACTCAGCTTTTTATACGAACCCCATATAAAGAAAAATATT